GAATAAACTTTCCATGGATACAATTTAAAAAAAGAATTCTGATATGGTTTAAACTACCCTCAGACATATTCAATGAAAGTGCTGATATGGGCGGAACACTGGACTCATTCACAATTAAAGAAATGTCTGATATGGATGATACTAACCTGAAACACAGTCAAAGAAAGGCTTGATATATGAATAAACTTCCCTCAGAAGAAATTTTGACATGAACGAATTCCCTTCGTATACGAAAAATAAAGCTTTGTATATACTTGTGTATATTAACTGCCTTCAAAAATGAACAAAGAAAGGTGTGATAATGCTTATACGAGCATTTAATTGTTTGCTGAAATAGAGATCAGGTGGGTTCTCTACTCAACTGCGTATTCAGAAGAAAAAATCAGTAACCAATTGACGGATCAGATTTAGTATATACTGTAAATCAGATATTATAAGAAGCGTTTAATGTAGGATATGGAACAGCGTTCTTTTGAACATTGTATAAAAATAATGTTAAAAATGTATTTATGTATAAAACAAAGGTTATTGTACAAGGCTGGTTGATTTAAACCATATTTGGTAGCAAGAATGAGTAAGAAGCTGTTGTATAGAACAATAACTCTGAGCTGTGTTAAAAAAAGAAAATGAAACCCAAAAATAATGATGTGCCAACCTAAAAGTTGTTAAAAGGTTATTTTCATATACCTTTTTCGAAGTATTTATTTTGATTAAACTAAAGCTGATATTTAATATAATATCATGCAAGTTGTGTCAGATGGTGTTATACGCCAGTTTATATTTTGCTCCGATAGAAGATTAAAAGTATACAAGTTGTGCCATATATTGTTATACGCCAGATTATATTTATTTCTGATAGAAAATGATTTGGAAAGCATGTTTTAGTTAAGCATGAGCTTATGCAAAACAGGAACCCCTATAGGCAACAACTATTATCAACTTTTATAGAGAGTATATTACGGAAGTAATTGGCAGAGGTAAAAATATAAGCCGGAAAACTTTTTATGTAAGATCTTTGCATGAAAAAAAAAAGACCACATTTGGTTTTCTTTCATTGAGACATTTGTTTTGTTTACTATTTCGATTATATAAAAATCAAAATAAATATATCACTTCAGTATTTCTTTATCATCGTTGTTGTGAAAAGATACGTTGTTCATTCCACTTGGGCTGATCTCTTTTGTTTCTGCTAGAAAAAATGTTTTAAGCAATCATCACTAGATGTCAGCACAAGCATTATCTAGATTAATTTCATCTGCTGGAATAATATATAATTTGTGATAAAAATATATATATCAAGATTTAAGAGCATAATTTATCATTAATTTTGTATACAAATATATTTAAGAAAATTCATCCAATAGATGCTCTTGTTATAGGAATGGAATTGTTAATTTTTTAACAAACATTAAATTAAATAATTCAGTAGTTTAAATTAAAATTAAATATTGTATAAAAGTCGTAGCAATTACAGAACAGTTGAATGTTGCTGTTGAAACGAACAGCTTATGTGCTGAATGATTGATGAAATAACATTTAATTTTTCTCTTCCTTTTTCTCATTATAGTCCCACGAAAGAGCAAGAAAGACACTTTGCACACCCTAAATGCTGCCATTTTTTATGATTAAATTTCAAGAACCACAGAGTTAACGAAGAGACATAAAAGTGGATCTAAACATCAACTACTGAACATTTTTCACAAAAGTTGTACATTTAATCAACTTTGAAAACAGATAAAACATTTATCAAATAAGGAAATATATAAATAAAAATGAAATTATCTGTTGAAATAATCTAATTACTAAAAAGTGATACATATCTAACAAATAACTGTACATTTGTGGGTATATTGATGTATATAATACTTGATAAACAACTGATATTGTTAGATATAAGTTAGCTAGCTGCATTATTAATAATTTTAGGAAATTGAATGGCTGCTTAGCTGGCAGCGTTGACTTTAATGTCCCTTAATAAACGAAACCAAAAGTGTATGACAAATAGTTAAACTGTTTTAATTGTGCTTATAGTGACTGAAATCCTCTTTTAGATAAAAAACTTGAAAAAAGATTTTGAGTTAGCAATGGATAAGATATTGTTTTACCTTTAATAAATATGCAACTTCTGTATTTTTGATCTAATGTAGTTTATCTAGAGACAATAATTTTTATGAACGATTGAACGATTCGTCTGCAAAAGTTGCTATGCAGGTAACCAATACGATTCGTGTTGCTTGGTTTATGTTAGCCACGCCTTTGTGGTAACGTCACAGACCATGTGCACGTCGTCCGAGCTCCTCAACAAATACAGAAATGAGACGGTGTTGCAAGACAAGTTGCTCATTGGTTGGAAGCCATGTGTATTACGGCTATTGTCAATCAGTACAGCGTGGACTTGTGGCTGACTTGGCCAGAGAATGAAGAGTACTTGAACGGGCTGGACGTTTCGCTCAGACTAGTTTTCGTCTTAAGTAACTTGTGTTTAACTGAAAGCCACACCGTCTGCTGTACTTAGCATTTTCGCAAAAGAGAATTTGAAGAGCACTTTGTTTTGAAGTAGGGAGAAATTGTGATCTGAACTTTGTTATGATGATAAGTGCCTGAGCCAGCCTGAACCTTTCTAGGCTACATAAGGACCTTTTCCGTATTTGGACGTCTGTTTCTGTCAGCTGTGTGGGCTCGTACCAGCCGCCAACGTGGCTACGCTGGATCGAGATTATTCATTCTACCACCCATTTGGGGTGGTCGGCCCGGGTGTAGGTACGGGCCACCATCATGGAATCGAGCATGAGCTGAAAATGACCGGTAGTCTTCCATCAGTCCATAGTCATAGTTCTATACCTATGATCGCTAGTACCTCGCCAGCCTCCTCACCGCCCTCACACGGTCACATCCACAATAATGAAAACTGCGGAGACATAGGACCGTCTGGTGGGGACAGCAATAAGAACAAGAAAGACGCAGACAGAGTGAAACGACCCATGAATGCTTTTATGGTTTGGTCCAGAGGTCAGAGAAGAAAAATGGCCCAAGAAAATCCGAAAATGCATAATTCTGAGATCAGTAAAAGGTTGGGTGCTGAGTGGAAACTGCTATCGGAGGCCGAAAAACGGCCCTTTATTGATGAAGCGAAACGGCTGCGAGCCGTGCACCTGAAAGAACACCCAGATTATAAGTACCGGCCTCGTAGGAAAAACAAGACCTTGAAGAAAAAAGACAAATACCCACTAGCTACAGGATTGCTTACGCCGGACAGCCGGACTCCCGTGCAACAGGTCAGTCGGGAGATGTACCAGATGAACAGCTATATGCCCAATGGTTACCCCACCATGATGCACGAAGCATACCAACAACATGCGGCAGCTGCAGCTTCTTACGGGTCTCAAATTGTGGCCAACAGTGCCCTCTACTCTCGATATGAAATGCCCCCGCTGTCCACACCGATAACCACATGCTCTAACATGAATATGCCTTACTTGAACGGTACATCCCACTATTCCATGCCCATGTCATCCTACTCGCCCATGCAAACTGCCAGTCCCATGCCTGCCCCATGCCCCATCAAATTGGAACCGAACCACAGCCCTGGGGCCCAGACCCCTCCATGTGCTATGTCAGCGGCAGTGGCCGGTAGAAGACCAGGATGCACTTCTGACCTCCGTGATATGATCAGTATGTATTTACCTGGTGATGGAAATAGCGACCCCAATGTCCAGAGACTTCAACTGCAAAGTCACTACCATCATCAACCCGAGCCCATGGTGGCCGGTACCATGCCTTTAACACATATGTAAGTATTGGGTGAGTTTGGATAGCGACTTATTAATCAGACGTATTCACAGATCTAGTGGAGATACAGACAATCAGGCTGATTCATTACCACAAATCAGATTATGTGCGCATTTCGTGATAACAACGAGACGTCAAAGACTAACAGAGATATTGAATATATCTATTTCCTCGTCTTGTTTCCGTCGTGTTCCGGCTGCACGTAAGTAGCCTCAGCTTACGCAGAGGTTCAATTCAATAAGTGTTTTTCAAAAGTACTTGTGTGTATATATAAATATGAATATATAACCTTGCACGTGCACGGAGGACATATTTTCTGTTGTTGTTTTTTTTTGTAAAGCAGAACAAAAAAAACAAAAAGAAGAAAAAGAAAGCGTTATTTCTTCAAGAATAATGGCTGAGTACGTTACTGTTACAACTGGGACAAGGGTAGTTGTAGCTTGTCTAGAGCGAGCTCTTGCGGCGAGTTAACAACGCTTCGAGACGTGTAAAGTAGCTATTAAGTATACTGCAGATGTAGTTCCTGTTATAGTGATAGATATCAGCGAATGACATGCTTGGGACGAGTACGGTTAACTCTCTATCACTGTTCAACAACTTCCTTATAGCTAAACTTAAAGTAAGTCCTAATTTATACCTTGTTTAGCTATAGCTCAACTGTATTAGATAGCTTTTTCGATCGTGTTATGTACATATATAAATATACTCTCTCCCTATTAAGTTTATTATACTTACATTTGGGCATTCTTCATATAATATATTATTATTACGAAAATGCCGAATTAACGAACTTAATACATTCCAGTGTAATTAAATAGTAAACAATAGAAAAACAAAACAGAAGAAGCGGAGAAATTAAAAGAAACTGTAAAATATTTTTTGAAGTTATAAACATGCAAACGGAATCTATTTCTATGCTTGCAGGCCTGTCTTTCTATTCAACTAACTATCTGTCTATTTGTCCATTTGTATACCTAGCTATCTGTCTGTGTTTTTAACTAGCTCTCTCTCTCTCTCTCTATCTATAAGGTTTTTGAAGGAAATTTGTTTTCTTTTTATGTCATTGTGAATAATAGCATAGTAGTGATGCCATTCTGGGATCTTTTGGGTGAAATTAAAGAAGAACGCATAATATGTCAACCATACTATATCTGCTATGTACAGTACCGACGAGGCCTTTCGCTCAATACCAGGGTTCCTCAGGCTGGCTGGGATACGACAGATATAGTAGTGGTTTAGACGTTATTTGTATTATTAAATTACACGAACAACATCCGTTATAATGTGAGCTGAATTAAGTTGGTGAAGTGTATGAGTTTTATGTGAGTTGTTTAAAAATCGGAATTAGGGTAAGGATGTTGAAAGTATGAGGTCATTGATTGAGTTACATTTTCTATTTATTATATTTTCTTTGCGTGATTTTGCCTTTTTTTTTCTAACCTTTTTGTTTAACATACTTGATATTCTTCTGAATGTCAATTAGTATTTACCTTCATTTAAGTGTACAAGATCTAAATAATTTTAAATTTACTGAATTTGCTTGGGGTGATTATTCCAAATCATATATATATATATATATTTGTTATGTTTTTATCAGACTATCATTTACACTTTTAAAATGTCAGATGCTGTAAAAGTTGTTAGCTAAATCCTATTTTCTTCATCATTTTTAACAGTAACAGAATATTAAAAATAGTATATTATTTGTTTTAAAATGGTTATATGTAATGATTTGATATCTGAAGATTGTGAAAAAAAGCACACTAATACATCAACAGAATGTTATACATTATAAACTACTGGTAATTTCTCCCGTTATTAAAGCAGTGTTTTAGATATGAAAAAAAAAACTAACATAAAATCCATCTTTTGTATTTATGAATTATGTCCAACTGAGTAGTAAAAACCTAAGCAAGTTTTGTTTTACTCAACACTTATTATACTGATCAAATATCAAATTGTCTCTGTAACTACCAATACTTTCATCGTTATATTCCGCAGTTGTTAGTAATAAAATAAATATATCAAATATTACGACAGCAGTTCTAATTTTTAATAAACTATACTATTAGTGTATCATTTAATATTTTCATATGTTATTGAAATATTTTAATATCAGAGAAAAAAAATTGGTAAAATCAAATACTATCTAGTTGAAATATTTCACAAAAAAATAGAATAAAAGCTTTATTGTTGGGTGCAAAAAGTATAAGAGAAACAGAGTGTGTGCAAGTGGAAAACAGTTCTATTGTTTATTACTGTTGTAAAGATGCATAATATAATATATATGTTACCTATAATGCACTGTTTAGTTGAAGGAACTGATTAAATAACAGTGTTTAAGTTGCTGCAATTCATGATATCTTCCTGATTTGTTGATGATGTATTGACTCTTTAAATTACATGATTTAATTTAATTTCACAAAACAAAAATTCAGTTAGAATAATCTTTGTTTAAAAAAGTATTGTTGATCAACAATAACTCAAATTACCTTTATTGTTTTGGACAATGACTTAATTATGTCTAAATGAATAGACAAAATACGCATTAAAATAAGGTTCTCAAAAGTCCTCACTCAAAAGTTTTAGTCCAAATGTTTGATGTAAAGCAAAAACAAAAAAAAATAAAATAAAAATAATTGATTGAAAAAGTTGAACGAAATGAAGGGTACTTTCAATCATCATTTGATAGAAAATACATTGAGGTGAAATGATCGCTTTTGAATATTTATCAGATTGATTCTGCAAAGAAAAACCTAAACATTGGGCTTTTGATTGCTACCGCTAAATTATAATATATATGATTGTCCTTATAAAAACACCTCATTTTCCAGAATGTTTACTAGAAAAGGTAGTAACAGGGCTGGTGATGTTAAAATAAAACTAATGTGTGTATTATTGTATTAGGAAATGTGTATAACTGGTTTCATGTAATGTACAGTTTGTCAATAATTTCATAGTACACTTGTTAAAAATACAAGTGATGTTTTTGAGTCAAAAATAAAGTTATTTTTTGCATACTGTACTCGTCCTGAGGCCAATAAATGTTTTGGCACAGTTCTTTCTTTGTTATTTTCTATTGAATAACTCAAACTACCATATTAACTTTTTATAGTTCATGACCGATATGGTACATTACTCCTGAAAGACGATCGGGTGTTTGCTTATTCTTGTTAAGACAAAACTACACAATGGGCTAATTGTGCTGTGCCCACTACGGTATCGAAATCCGATTTTTAACGTCATAAGCCCAGAGACGTGCTGCTGAGCCACAGGGGGCGCAATCGGCTGACTAAGATGTTTTGTTTGTTATGAATTTTGGGCAAAGCTACACGAGGGCTATCTGCGATAGCCGTCCCTAATTTAACAGTGTAAGACTAGAG